AGCACACCCATTATTTAATTAAAATAAAATATTAAAATTTTATTTAGATTAAAAATATAAAAACAAAAAAGTGCAAACTTTAAAATTAGTAATTAATATAAAGTTAAATATGATTTTGTGCTTAAGTCAGTTAATAATTTGTGGTCATTGAACTTCCTCTGCTTGATTACCTTTTTTTTAATGACCCTGCTCTTGCTTCCTTTAATAATTATAATTAATATATCCTGATTCACAGTCTTAATAATTAATATTATTTATTTTCAATATGTATTTATAAAATATTTTAAGATCTTATATATGAAACTCACAATGCATTATACATAGTTATTTATGTAGTGTTCTTATCCTATTTTGCTACTCTTAATAATTCGCCTTGTCTTACCTTAAAAAATGGTTAAGATACTTTATGTTATAAAATTAAATTTAATATTAAATATATATACATATATATTTATATATATATATATTGTGATTTGGCTAAGTTTTATTAAGGATAGCTTAAGACTTTACCAGGTTATTAAGTACATAAGTTAAAATGTACATAACTTAAGTCAAGTTAAGCTACTAGTAAGTGTGTTGTAAATTCGATTTTTTATTAGTATTATCCATTTATTATTCATTGAACAAACTCATTTAGTTATATTTATCTTTAATCATATTATATGTATATGAAAAATTACTTATAACCTACAGCTTATATTGATTATGTTAAATTAAGATATTATTAATTTTGATAACTTTTTTACTTGAAAATTTTTTACTTTAATATAAAAATTTTTATATTTATATAATGTAGTAATTATTCAGTACTCAGATAGGTATGTTACTTCTTTGTTCTTTATATATTTATTCCTTTTTGGTGGCTGCATTCAAGAAGTCAATACATTTAATGAGTACAACAAATGAATTTTTTTTTATCCATTTTATTATTTGAACAAGATATATATACTTTCCTGTAATTGAGATGATATGCATTGATGGATATATATTTATAATGTAATTGATAATCTTTTGTGATATCTTGAAAACAAAATATTAACAAAAGAATATTGATGCTTTACATATTAAATATCATTAACAATCTTTTAAAGTAGAAGTATATAAGTATTTAAAAACTTCTTTAAATCAGCCATCATAAATTTATTATAGATTAAGTATTTTAAGTTTATGAATATTTAAAATGAACATTACTATATAAATTTTTGTAAAATAAATGTTTACAAAATATTAAAAAATACATATTTACACTGACATTAACAAAATTATATGTAAGATACTATAAATATGTTTTTCCAAATTAATAATAATTATCATTTATACAATAAAAGATAGTTAATGTAAAGATGTACAAATAAATGAAAGAAGAAAAAAATAAAATGTAATATTGATGGTATGATAAAAATTTCAAATGGTGGGGTTATATAAAAGAAATGTATTTTTTGTATAAATATATGGGGCATCTTTTGATATACTCTCTCACGTTTGGACGACAGGATTTGGCTTTCTCAGTTTCGAGGATGAAGATGCAGTGGACCGATGCGTAGCGGAGCATTTCGTCAACTTGAATGGAAAACAGGTATAGCATACCTACACACTAGTATATATTATATATTATTAGATTACTGTAATGTAAAATAATAATAAGTACGAATAAGTATGATAATTTAGTTATATGTCATAATTATATTTATATATTTTATATAATTATATTAGTTATAGTACTTATTTTATTTTACACAATTTTCTCATACTATGTTACTCTTAACAACTGTATGTTTAGTTCTTATTATATAAGTATCAATTTAAAAAAACGTTTAGAATTATCGTACATATGCGTTATATGGCAAGTCAAAAATTAGAATATATTTAGAATCGATGTAAGACTTGGCGAGTTTTAAAGGTTTAATCTTATACTTTTATGAAGAAAAAAAGAAAATTAAAATTAAGGTATAAATAGGATTACTTTTATTCGATCGAGGTCGAAATCCTATTTCATATCTCTTAATTTGAATCATGAAATATGAACGATAATGATTTTCATTCAGATTGTTTGATTATTTTTGGTTACAGGTTGAAATCAAACGCGCAGAACCAAGAGATTCTTCTAGCAAAATGAATGATAGTCATCAAGGTCAGTGGGGACCACCTCAACAAGGTGGACCTCCAATGGGAATGGCTGGGAATATGGGACCTATGGGTGGTCCAAATGGACAGATGAGTGGACCTATGATGGGAGGTCCAATGGGTCCACCAGGAAATATGATGCAGCAGTATCAAGGTTGGGGTACCAGTCCTCAAACTGGAGGATATGCTGCTGGATATACTCAGTATAATTCTCAGGGCTGGGGTGCACCACCTGGCCCTCCTCAGCAACAACAAATTCCACCACCACCACATCATCAATGGGGTAGTAGTTATAATGTTCAACCTGCAGCAGCTACTCAAGGTTATGGAAGTTATGGTAAGTTTTTAACATAATTTTCTTAGTTCAGTCTCATTTAAATTCTTTTTTTTTTCTTTTTTTTTCTTTTTTTTTTTTTTTTTTTTT